AACTTGTCAAGTGCAAAGACTACAGTGAGCAACTCTTTCTTAGTGGTTGAGTAATTCATTTGAGCACTATTTAGAGTTCTACTCGTGTAATACACAACAAAGGGCTTCCCTTCCCTTCAATGACCAAGGTTGGCCCCCACAGCATAATCGCTTACGTGACACATGATCTCAATGGTAAGCTCCAATCTGGTGACTGAATGATGGGGGCGGAAGTCAAGTTCGCCACAAGCGTTCGGAAAGAATCCTCACACTTTTGTGTCCAATCGATCGCGGCGTCTTTAGCCAGGAGGTTACAAAGCGAACGAGAAATTGCTAAAAAGTTTTGTATGAACCTCCTGTAAAAACCAGCATGCCCCAGAAAAGACCGAATGTCTTTGACAGTCTTGGGGGTGGGCAACTTTGAGATAAGTTCAATTTTGGACTGATCAACCTCAATCCCTCTTTCAGAAACAACATGCCCTAAGACTATGCCAGATGGCACCATGAAATGACACTTCTCCCAGTTAAGCACGAGACTCTTCTCTTCACATCTCTTAAGCACAGCTTCTAAGTTGAGAAGGCACGAGTCGAAGGAGTCACCGAAGACGGTCAAATCATCCATGAACACTTCCATACACTTCTCGACCATGTCGCTAAAAATGCTCATCATGCACCTCTGGAAGGTGGCTGGTGCATTACACAGCCCAAATGGCATACGCCTAAAAGCATAAGTACCAAAAGGACAGGTAAATGTAGTTTTATCCTGATCCTCTAATGCGATCTCGATCTGATAATAGCCTGAGTAGCCATCAAGAAAGCAATAGTAAGGATGACCAGCCACACGTTCTAGGATTTGGTCAACGAATGGAAGTGGGAAGTGATCCTTGCGGGAGGCGGTGTTCAGCTTTCGATAGTCAATGGACATTCGCCAACCCATCACAGTCCTTGTGGGAACAAGAGCCCCTTTCTCATTTTCCACCACTGTCACCCCTGATTTCTTAGGCACCACCTGAGTTGGACTGACCCACTTGCTATCAGCGATTGGATAGATGATTCCTGCATCCAAAAGCTTCAAGACTTCATTCTTCACGACCTCTTTCATTGTCGGGTTCAGTCTTCTTTGGGGATCCCTTCGTGGATTAACCCCTTCTTCCAAATTGATGTGATGAGAGCAAATTAAGGGGCTAATACACTTAATGTCAGCAATCGTCCAACCTAATGCCAATTTGTGTTCACGCAGCATGTCAACTAACCGCTGCTCTTGAAATGCATCAAGTTTAGATGAAATAATGACAGGAAAGGTATCACCAGCTCCCAGGAAGACATGTTTTAGATTCTCAGGCAGTTGAGCCAGCTTGAGGTTTGGGGTCTCTTCGGTGGATGGTTTTGGCTTTTCTTTTTCTCTAGGTAGCTCTTCAAAGTGTGGTTGCCAAAACTTGGTTCCTCTGCCTTGTGAGTCTTTGAAAATGGTGACATTGTTGGCCAACTCACAAGGACCGGAACTCTTAGATTCATAAATGCAGAGGAAATCGTCAAGATCATCAGAATTGCTACACAACTGAACCTCTTCCGAGACAAGTGTGTCAATTAGAAATGTTTGGTGGCACTCGTCATCATCACGTGGTTGCTTTGAAATGTGAAAAACATTCACCTCCAAAGTCATGTTTCCAAAAGATATCTTCATCAGACCATTCCTACAGTTGATGAGAGCATTGGCTATAGCAAGGAAAGGTCTTTAGAGGATGATGGAAATCTTGGACTCCATGCTCACCACGGATTGAGTATCCAAGACTAGAAAGTCAACGGGGTAATAGAACTTATCAACTTGAACCAAAACATCCTCAACTATCCCCCGAGGTTTCTTGATCGATCCATCAGCCAGCTGCAGAACCACGGATGTGGGCTTAATTTCTCCAAGACCAAGTTGCGAGTAGACAGAGTATGGCATGAGGTTAACACTCGCTCCTAGATCAAGCAAAGCTTGGCTGAACTCATGTGTCCCAATCTGACAGGAAATTGTGGGACAACCGGGATCCTTGTACTTGAGCGGTGTTTTCTGGTCGATTACCGCGCTTACCTGTTCTGTCAAGAATACTGTCTTCTTGACATGGTGCTTCCTTTTGATAGTGCACAGATCCTTGATAACCTTAGCATAAGTAGGCACTTGCTTGATAACATGAAGTAAAGGAAGATTAATCTTCACTTAAGTCAAGTGCTCTAAGATCTCACTTTGGTGTTCCGGTATTTTCCCAGTTGGACGTAGAGCTTGGGGAAAAGGCACCTTTACCGGAACATTTGTTGGATCATCTTTCTCATGGACAACTTCCTTAGTACTCAAAGTGGTGGCACTTGTTGACGATTCTTCCATAATCTTACTACTACGAGTACTGATGGCATTCACCTCCTTAACACTTTGATTATCAAGACATGAGGTTTGTGCCATATGTTGACCCTTTGGGTTTGACTGAGCTTGTGAAGGGAACCTGCCGCATTCTTGAACAGCCAAAGCTCCAGTCATCTTCGTGATTTGACTTTTCATTTCTTTACTTTCCTCCACCATTTGCGTGAACAGTGATTCAAACTTCTGATTCGTCTTACTCTGTACCTCCATGAAAGATTGCAAGGTGTTCTCAAGAGAACTCCCTGGCTGATGCGAATTGTATTGAGGTGCAGAGTATGCCTTTGGTGGTTGTGGTTGTTGCTCAGTTCTCCATTGTCCTCCTGATGGTTCTGCTTGGTTGGAATCTCTCCAACTGAAGTTTGGATGGTTCCTCCAGCCAGGATTGTATGTGTTAGAGAAGGGTTTGTTGTATGCCCCTAAGGCATTGCATTGCTCCTCATAAACCATGGCTCATTTCACCATAAGCAGACAATCCTTAGCTAGATGTTCCACCATACCACAGACAAAGCATGGCTCATGTGTCTCTGCCCTTGCGACCGTGTGGATTCCTCTACCTTCTTTGCCTTTGAGGGCCTCGATTTGCCTTGTCAAAGATTCGACTTGGGCTTTGAGGTTGTCCTCCTGCCTTAATTGATAGATTCCACCCGGTCGGGACCTATTGGTGATGTCAGTAGCACTAGGTCCGGTCCAAGTGTGGGCTTTTTCGGCTAACTCGTTGAGATACTCAAAAGCCTCCTCGGGATCCTTTTGGAGAAATTCACCATTGCACATCATCTCCACAAATTGGCACTCTCGAATCGTGAGTCCTTTGTAGAAATAACTGACGAGGCGCCAACTCTCGTAACCATGGTGAGGACACTGATTTAACAAATCCTTGAACCGTTCCCAAACTTGATACAGAGTTTCATTGTCCTTTTGGGTAAAGGTCGAGATCTGTCGCTTCAGACCATTGGTCTTATGGTGAGGGAAATACTTGTTGAAAAATGATGTCGTCATTTCTTCCCAACTTCCAGTAGACCTAGGTCACAGAGAATACAACCAGCTTTTAGCCTTTTCCTTCAAAGAGAAAGGAAAGAATTTCAATCACACAGAGTCCACGGCTTCATCTCGGTTGTGAAAAGTGGCCACTACTTCTTCAAACTCCCTAATATGAACGTATGGATTCTCGCTCTCTAACCCGTGAAAGGTCGGCAGGAGTTGGATCATGCCTGGCTTGAAATCCAAATTCGGCATATTTGGGGGAACATTATGCATGATGGTGTGGCCGTACGCCTTACCACATTTGTAGAGCTCGAAAAGAGCTTTGATTTGGTATATTATAGGCCCAGCAACAATTTCTGGATCAAAAGTTATGGGCGTCTTCAGTCACAGTTTTCTGGTTTTTTTCCTCCGAAACTGATGAAAACAAGTGAATTTTTGCCCAAAAAATTGGGTTAGCCGGCTACGCCCTGCCATGTTTGTAGAGCTCAAAAAGTGCTTCGATTTTGTATATTATAGGCCCAGCAACTATTTCTGGATCAAAAGTTCTGGCCGTATTCAGTCACAGTTCTCTGATTTTTTTCCTCTGAAACTGATGAAAACAAGTGAGTTTTGACCCAAAAAATTGGGTTGGCAGGCTACTCCCTGCCACATTTGTAGAGCTCAGAAGGAGCTTCGATTTGGTATATTATTGGCCCAGCAACGATTTCTGGATCAAAAGTAATGGCCGTCTTCAGTCATAATTCTCCAATTTTTTTCCCCCGACACTGATGAAAACAAGTGAATTTTGGCCCAAAAAATTGGGTTGGTGGGCTACGCCATGCCACGTTTGTAGAGCTTGAAAAGAGTTTCGATTTGGTATATTATATGCCCAGCAACGATTTCTGGATCAAAAGTTATGGCCGTCTTCAGTCACAGTTTTACAAATTTTTTTCCTCTGAAACTGATGAAAACAAGTGAATTTTGGCCCAAAAAATTGGGTTGGTGGGCTACGCCATGCCACGTTTGTACATCTTGAAAAGAGCTTCGATTTGGTATATTATAGGCCCAGCAACGATTTCTGGATCAAAAGTTATGGGCGTCTTCAGTCACAGTTTTTTGATTTTTTTCCTCCGAAACTGATGAAAACAAGTGAATTTTTGCCCAAAAAATTAGGCTGGCGGGCTATGCCCTGCCACATTTGTAGAGCTCAAAAAGAGCTTCGATTTGGTATATTATAGGCCCCACAATGATTTCTGGATTAAAAGTCAAGGCCGTCTTCAGTCATAGTTATCCGATTTTTTTTCCTCCGAAACTGATGAAAACAAGTGAATTTTGGCCCCAAAAATTGGGTTGGTGAGCTACGTCCTACCACATTTATAGAGCTCGAAAAGTGCTTCGATTTTGTATATTATAGGCCCAGCAACGATTTCTGGATCAAAAGTTTTGGCCGTATTCAGTCACAGTTCTCTGATTTTTTTTCCTCTGAAACTGATGAAAACAAGTGAGTTTTGACCCAAAAAATTGGGTTGGCAGGCTACTCCCTGCCACATTTGTAGAGCTCAGAAAGAGCTTCAATTTGGTATATTATTGGCCTAGCAACGATTTCTGGATCAAAAGTAATGGCCGTCTTCAGTCACAGTTCTCTAATTTTTTTCCCCCGACACTGATGAAAACAAGTGAATTTTAGCCCAAAAAATTGGGTTGGTAGGCTACGCCATGCCACGTTTGTAGAGCTTGAAAAGAGTTTCGATTTGGTATATTTTATGCCCAGCAACGATTTCTGGATCAAAACTTATGGCCGTCTTCAGTCACAGTTTTCCAATTTTTTTTCCACTGAAACTGATGAAAACAAGTGAATTTTGGCCGAAAAAATTGGGTTGGCGGGCTACGCCCTATCATGTCTGTAGAGCTCGAAAAGAGCTTCAATTTGGTATATTATAGGCCCCGCAACGATTTCTGCATCAAAAGTCATGGCCGTCTTCAGTCACAGTTCTCTGATTTTTTTCCTTCGAAACTGATGAAAACAAGTGAATTTTGGCCCCAAAAATTGGGTTGGCGTGTAACGCCGTACCACGTTTGTAGACATCGAAAAGAGTTTCGATTTGGTATATTATAGGCCCAGCAACGATATCTAGGGCAAAAGTTATGGCCGTATTCAATCACAGTTCTCTGATTTTTTTCCTCCGAAACTGATGAAAACAAGTGAGTTTTGGCTAGGGGTGTAAATCGGCCGGGTAGGGTAGGGTTGAGCTGAAAAATTGAGCCTACCCGACCAATGCGGGTTGAGAAAATTTTGAGCCGCGACACTTTCTTAAATCTACAAACCCGCAACGTTTCGGGTGACCTCGGGTAGGGTAGGGTTACTCGGTTGGTGAAAGTAGATAACTAATATAAAAACAACTAGAATATTTCATTTAGATTGGTACCCTTCTAACATGCATAATAGTCCATATAAAATAAACAGTTTAATCTAGAATAAATAATCCATATAAAGATAAACAGTCCATATAAAAATAGTCGCAAAATAGGACATGAAATAAAAGTTAGTCCACTCCAAACTGTTTAATCCAGAATAATAGCATCTTCATTCCCAACTTGCCCCTCATGTGTTGCAACAGAATTTGACAAATCTTGAGAAGAAAACGTAACAAAAAAAATCATCAGAATCAAGTTTAGAACAACAAAATAAACCACAATGAGATGAAATAAAATTAAAAAAAAAGTAAGTAAAACTTAAAAAGATTACCTGATTCAATATCTTCATATTCATTAAATTCTTTCAAGTCAATAAGGTTGATGTGCTCACAACTACGCAGCCAATTTTGTGTACAAATCAATGCCTCCACCATCTTGGGGCTCAATGAACTCCTAGAGGGATCGAGGATGCTGCCTCCGGTACTAAAAGCAGATTCTGAGGCTACCGTTGAAACATGAATGGCAAGAATGTCTCTTGCAACTAGTGAGAGAACCTTGTAATTAGTTGCATTATTCTTCCACCATTCTAAAACATCAAAATTTGACCGAGTTGGATCCTCCATAGGGTCTGTCAAGTATCTGTCCACATCATTTTTGTACTCATTCACATTCTTCTCCTTCATTTTCCTTACAAACTTGCTCCACAAACACCCTTTTTCTTTTGGAGTCATTTTTGCCTCTATTGTACTTGTTGTTGCCGCCTCCCCACTACTTACATTGGCCACAGATTCACCTTTGTCCCCACTATGAACCTCATGCAGCCAGTACATAGTATCCTTCACATTCTTTGCTAATGTTTTAGAAGTGGAAGAATCATACACTATAGAGCAACAATATGTCAAATAATCCATTTTGTACCTAGGATCAAGTACAACAGCCACAAAGAGAAGACAATTTATATTCTCAACACTCCCCCAATACTTGTCATACTTCTTTTTCATACTCACAGCCATGGATGAAAGCATTGAATCATCTTGTTTGATTAATTCAGATAG